GTTTACGATGATCAATATAAAACGAAATGCTTCTCTCTGGGATCCTGTTCAATACATAAATGTACTAGTGCAACTAATCAGTCAAGACAAACTGTACAGTTGACACTACAACTGTTCACGATGGGGTGGTCATGTCCATCTGGGTTGTGAACCACTTATTCTTGTTTCGCGAGTAACCGATAGTATGATCTTCGGTTCGCCCGATGACGACCCACACTATCTAATGCAAAACAACAGAACGTAGAACTTGTTTAATCTAATATGATTCTCATTCATAAAAGGGTAAAAGTGCAGTATTATTCAAAGCCAAGCTTTCAGTATATAACACTAACAAGTTCTGTATCTCTACCCAACCAGAAAACCACCGACTGAAGAGTATAATCTCAAAACAATCGAGCAAAAATCGTGAGTGACTTCTTATAAATGTACTTCCACTTCATCACCCATAACAATATTAAGTACCAAAACCAAGGTTCAGACTTCGAACATTATAAAAGACACACCGCAATTTTGCTTGCTGTTCCAAAACGAAATCGAAGAACACCAGTTCAGACGTACATCCATTCCAAACGAAATCGAAGAACACCCTAACTCTACTCAATTTCTCAAACAAAATTAATCACTTGAAATGGTTATAAGCTTGCCACATTTGTATTATTATTATTATTATTATTATTATTATTATTATTATTATTATTATTATTATTATTATTATTATTATTACTATTATTATTATTATTATTATTATTATTATTATTATTATTATTATTATTATTATTATATTACATGCATCTCCAGAACAATACCAGAACTGGACATGAATGATGAAGTCATGAAATAACAAAACCAACTAGACATCACCACAACTTATGAAACAATAAAACCATTTACATAATATACTAACTTGTAACTAACAACGTGTGTCCATACAGTAACTTCAAAATATTATCAAATTGTAGTACTTTGGTGAAATAACTAGGCACATAACAAAAATAATTTTGAAAAAAATTAATGTATGCAGAGAATTGAGACAGTAGGGAAACTCACGACGAATGTTTGGTGTGTCGGCGTTGCCGGTGGCGGAGGCAAAACGTGTTCAACGAAGGCAGGGACTGGAAATTCACGACAGACGAAAACAGGGGCTAGAACTTCACGGCTGACGGAACCGGGGGTTTGATCTTCACGATCGTCGGAAACTAGGGCTGGAGACGAACTTTTTAACAGCGTACGGAGGCAGGGATACAAAGACAGTGTCGGTTGGAAATTCACGTCGACGGATGGAAGCGATGTCTGGAACTTCAGGGCAGACGGACAAAATTGAAGGATGGAACCGAATAGTCGCGGTGCACGGAGGCCGAGGTGGGCTGGAAAGACGGAGGCGGTGGTTGGAATTTCACGGCGGGCTGAAGATTAAGGTGGAAGCCAATTTGTTTATGCGATATAGAAGCGACAAAGTGAACAGTCACTGGGGAGCAAATTTGTTTAACCTAATTAGTGATGAATTACTTTGTGTAAATATGGTTCTAAAATAGAAAGTACATTTTTTATATAGGGTGGTTTTATTGCATATCAATAGTTTATATTTTATATGTGGTGGACAATAATCCTATGTTAATTTTGATACGCCTTGGGTTTGTATATGGGTATTAGAACCACATATACATAACAATAATTTTATTACAATAATGCCACTGCTCTACTTTTTATATCAGGTATGTTGCACCCCGATATAAAAAGTGACCCCTAGAATGTGTTTTTTGTAGTAGTGTTATTTGGCGAATTCATTGGGAGATTCTGAAGTGCCTCGAGTCGTCATACACTCCAAACCTCGAGAAATAAGGAGACGACTTCGAGTAGCAAGAGATCGACTTGGGGGTTCTCGTATAGGAATATACCAAGAGACTCTACTGTTCGTCCTTGAATCGTCTTCGTCTTCTTAATAGAGATCGACTTTGAGTAGTTTAATTAGGGAAGCCGACTTCTTCATGTCGACTTCCATATTATGATGACGCAAAGTCGACTTGTGGAAGTCGACTTCTTCTGCCTTAGCGATGTAGAAAGTCATCTGGAGACGTGTTGGTCTAGATCGACATGTAGGCTGCTCGACTACCACCCGATTGAGCAACTGATACTTAAACCGGCATACCTCAATATGGCTATATCAAATGAGATGGTATAATTGCCATATTCAACTTGAATTTTAAATTTTTCAAAATATTATTTACAATCCGAAAGAGAAATTTGGTCTAATTAAAACATTGCCACAAGTTGATAACGATACGCATTGCCACCATGTCTATGTTAATTATGACATGGCTTAATAAGATTTTGGGACCCAATTAGTTAAAAACACATTGACTCTTTAATTTTCTTTCATACACTTACTTACAAATTCAAAAAACCGCGTGTCCCCAATTCGTCTCATCCCACGTGATATTACTGGAATGGTTATACAAAAGGACTCTTGAATCTTGATAGTCCAACTTACAAGAAAAAAATAAAATAAAACAAAATAAAATTATATATAAATATAAAAGAATAAATAATTCTTAATGTTATTTAACTTGGAGTTGTAAACTTACCGAGCCGACCTTAAGTTTCTGATCCACTATAGGGGTCTCTTACCCACGAAATGTTCTAATCTCTAGCATCTAGGCTTATGCCTCTACTCTCTGTAACAAAAAAAAAAAAAAAAAAAAAAGTTTCTGATCCACTAATTTAGATTCGAACCTTTATCGAGCCTGATTTTGGTATATTAATAAACTAAACTCAAACTTTAACGAATTGAGCTAAGTTAAATATTCTTAAAATTAAATAAAATAAAAAAATAAAATTTTTAAACCTAACGAGCTTTAGAAACGGTTGACTCGTTACTAAACAACCTTAAATAAGCCAAACAAACTCGAGTGTCGACGAATCGAACGAAGCTTAATTCATGAATGGTTGGTTTCGTTCAACAACTTTATGCTATAAAAAAACTGTATTTTCAATATAATTTTTTTTTTTGTTAATTATTCAAATTTTATGTAATGAACTATTTACTAGTACAACACCCGTGTATTATACGGGTGCTTGTTAAAAAAAATTATTATATTTGATATTAAATTGAAGTTCATCAAGAGATGATTAATTTTATTACACAATAATTTTGTTTTTCTAATTAATATTAAAAAAATTTATTATTGTTATAAAGATAAATATAATTTATTTTTTTATACGTACAATATGAATGTTAAATCGAAGTTAATCAAGAGATGATTAATTTGTTATATGATATATATAAAACTGATAAACAATACAAAAGTTATTAACTTTTAACATACATTTACAATTCAATAGTTATAAAAAGAAATAATATTAAAATACAATTAATACATGTAATAAGACCATAAATAATCAACATATTTATGGATAATCCAGACCTAATTATTTTTGGATTGGAAATAAATGAAAATCTACCCAATAAGCATGTAATTTTGCCATATAAAATCTCGAAACATACGTCTGCCATTTAGGCTCAACACGTTTTGAATTAATATATAGGGAGATATTCCATTAGAATGGGTGGTTTATTTAAATGTGAAAAAGGGGGAAAAATATTTTTTCTACAATTAGTATGATTAAGGGCAATAGGACAAATTTCCACTTATTTGGTTCTTACATGTAAATCTACCTTCATTTGTAGATTTCATTGTTTTGGTAAACATTGGTTTAGCCTACTTATATTTGGTATAATAATATATTTAGCCAATTCTTGTGAAGTCCTATTTCAAAATATATCACCCCATTTAGTCATTGACTTGAAAAAACCCATTAAAAACATTTGACTTTGGTGCATAAATAGAAATTATTTCAAACCAATAGTGAATAAATAATTCAATCGTTAATGGTGTGTTTCTATAGAAAGAAAAATAAAAGGTATTTTATTAAATTATTCAATAATTAATGATAAGTGATTAAATAAAAAACGAGTTAGATCTTGACACTATTTATTTTACATTTTTTTTATTTACATAAATAATCACTTTCCATTTGTAATCGTTTTTCCTTTTATTCTCACCTGTCATCACCGCCGTCTCAGCCGTACTGCCGCCCACATTCACAGCCGCGCAGCCGCGGTGGATTCGAGGTTCAGTCAGTCGCCAGTTATCTCCATCGTTGTCTCTCGCGTGAGCTGATACGCGTAATTAGACGATACATTCCATTCTTTATTCTTTTTTGCGGCTAACGAGGTCATTTTTGTATGCGCGAGATTTGAGATAATTCGTCGTGCTTGCTGAGATCCGGGGGTTGTTAAGGTTTGTTTCGCGGTGAAAATCGCCGTTCGACGCCGTTTGGGTGCGCGGCGGTTCGATCCTGTTATGCTCGATTTGGCTTGTGTTTGATTTATTAAGGTGTACTTTGTTTTTGTGATACATGATTTATTTATTTATCGGCATACCTTTCAATTCGTGTTTTTTTTTT